ATAACCATCATGACATGCTAACCAAGGATGATGGGAACTGTATTACAAGTGGATGCCAATTTGGGTGAGATTACTCAGAATAACTTGAAGAGATGGCTACACTTGATGGCAGTTGCTGCTTCTTTTTCTCCACTGCTTGAGGAAGTTGGTCAGAAGGATGGACAATGATACAAGTTGTCCTCCTGTGATAGATACATTAAATGTATGTGGGTTTATTGGGCAGAATCCCAATGGTGTCAGTGTAAGGGTGGGTAACTTATTGCAGCTAATTGCAACTAACTGATAGGGTGCCATGGTGCAACCTGATTCACAACCAACACTTCATCAGTGAGCCATAGTTAGCCACAGCAAGTTACTCAGACCTGGAGGAACACAGCCAAACAGCCCAAAAACCCCACAAGAACCATTAAGGTGTTTGTTTGTCTGTTGTGTTTGTCCAGCATCGGCCCACTAGAACCCCAGGAATTAGCAGAGGTAACTGGTTTTACTTGGAGCAAAGAGAGGAGCCGCACATCACCATTGCTACTTATGAGCCTTCTTATAGCACACACCCTGGAAACAGTGATGCAGGAACATTTAAGAAAGAGCTTCCCATGGTTTGGCAGTTGCCCCAATAGCAAGAGGAGGGACCCTTCCAAACCTTACCTTTCTTATGTTTGTGAAATCATGAGCACGTGCTTTTTGATGTCAGGTTGCAGCCCTGAATCTCAAGGGAACAGGAAGCTGATAACCTGACAACACTAGCTGTTACAGCTAACAGGAAATAATTTGGATGGAGATAGTGTTTCAAGGTCAGTTGCTTCCCATTCCATGAGATTTAGCATCAAAATCTGATTTATTGCTACAGACTCAACTCTTGTTATTCAGACTGGAATGTCATCCCTAGAGTTTCCCACCAACAAAAATGGTAAACACATTTTGAAAAGAAATGCACATTTTGAAAAGAAAAGATATGCAATCTGCAGTTGGCTCGCCTGCTTGGTTTATGTACTTTTAGGTTTTTATTTAAGCTTGTGACATTGTTTAGAATTGTTATTGTGTAGGCATGTTCTGAAGTGGATTGATACTATGTTTGATGTATTATGGGGCTAGAATTAATAAATGGTTACCAGGTCTCAGGATGCGGGTTCGAGCTTCATGGAATTGCTATGTTTCTCTGGATCTCTGGGAAGATGAATCTTAGGGTAAGCTTCAGTGGAGGAATAGAAATGTAGATTCTTTTGTGTGAGGACTGAGGAGCTTGGGCATCCAACTCCATCTGTTCCCAGCTGATGCCGGGACTCACTTACTCAGTTTGAAACTGTTTGTATATCTATTGCCCTTGAACAACACTAGTACATCAAAAAGTGCAGCGCAAAAGAAGGGGACTTGAGAGAGAACAAGTGGGTGCATGTTCATGTCCCCTGCCCCATGCCATTTGTTGTAAGGTAGAAACTGAAGCACCAGTATTTGTAACACATAAGCCTTTTTTTCTTGCAGAAATCCTGGCAGTAGTTACAAAGGGCCTAAAATAGACACCCATGGGCTAGCATAAACCTTCCACACGCCATTCAGCAATATAGGGTCTAGAAAAATATATGCCATGTATCCTATATGTAAGTTCACATACAAAGCCATAGAGACAATGGTGGCAACCACAGTAGCTCCTGTGCATATTCTAAGCATAATATTTTTTTTAGTCCTTTGTAGTCATATTATCTGGTAAGCAAGGAGCAGCTAGATCCTGGACCCATTTACCCAGATTCCCCTCCTGCCTGCTGCCACGATCTTCAGGGCCCAAAACACTTCAGCCACGCCAATTCTTGCCTGCCTTGCCTCCGTGACATTACAACACCATGCTCCTGTGACTTCACAGTGGTCTATTTTGGCAGTGAGCTGCTGTTGACCTGTCAATCCTAGCACTAATAGATGTGGAATAACTGCACGCTGAGATGAGTAGGCCTTTTTAAAAATTATTTTTCATTTTTTAAATGAACTCTTTTCTTGCCAGGTTTCATTTCATATACATAAACTGGCCCGAGTTTCATTTTACATGCATTAAAGGCACAGCCTGGTATATTACATTGTGTCTCTTCCATCCCTTTAGGCCATGGGCGAGCAATTTTTGGTCCTCCAGATGTTGATGAAACACAACTCCCATCATGCTTTACCATTGACTATGTTGTCTGGGGGTATTAAGAGTTGGGAGATGAGGCATTCTTCAGTCTCGAGACACTATGGTAACATGTTCTGTATGAAGGACTAGGAACAGCATCTAGTGTGAATTAGAAGGCCAATTCGAGGGCGACAATCAGTCCCCTGTCCAGCTCCCTGATTTTGCTGGTTTCGGGACTGCCTCTTTGCCTTGACCTGCTGAAGGGTATCTTCAAATTGGAAGAGGCCATGATGCACTATCTGCCTTCAGGCTGAGCGCTCAGATGTCAAGGTTTCCCATCTGCTGAGGTCCATTCCTAAGGCCTTCAGATATCCTTGTATTGCAGCTGTGGTCTCCCTCTGGGGTGGCTTCCCTGCATTAATTCTCCATACAGGAGATCCTTTGGAATCCGACCATCAGCCATTCTCACGACGTGCCCAAGCCAACGTAGATGTTGCTGTTTCAGTAATGTATACATGCTAAAAATTCCAGCTTGTCCTAGGGCTACTCTATTTGGAACTTTGTCCTGCCAGGTGAGTTACAGGTGAGTTATTTAGAATTACAGTCCAGCAATATCTGGAAGGTCACCGGTTGTGCACTCTTGCACTAGATGCTACTTGTGGAGCTTCACTATCTTACTTTTTATAGTCTCTTCTGTAGCTATAATTAAGCTGTGAGGCAGATCAACCTACCATCCCATCTATTCTGACACAGCACTGTGCTAGTGCCACTTCTACCGAAAGAAAGGAAAGTCAGGCCCTTTCAGGTTCAAATGAACCCTTTCTTCTGCATGGTACTACTGCCCCTTCACAAAGGTGTATCTTTTGGATGGAAAGAGAATTGGCTGTGACAGCTGGCTGGATTGAAGAGGAGTGATGCCCATTTTCAGTGAGCCTGAATTCGAAGTATCTGGCCCTCCTGCATTTCAATGAAACACAGTTTTTCAGCGTGTAGGAGGTTGTATTCTGATCTGTTCTAACTCTCAAATCACCTTGTATTCAATTACATGCAACAATGTTGTATTTAAAGTAGTGTGTGTGTGTGTGTGTGTGTGTGTGTGTGTGTGTGAGAGAGAGAGAGAGAGAGAGAGAGAGAGAGCAAAGTGATTAGGCATCTTGATTTTTTTGTTTCCTGCAAGTGACCACTTGTTGATTGTTGCCCTTAGGCCATCTCCTTCTTAGCCTACATTCCTTTTCTTCAAGGAAAAAGTTTACCCATTTCTCCTTTGTTCAATGGACTGATAGCCAGGAGGGATGTAGAAATTCAGTATATTAGCATACATAGAAAATTAATCTAGGGGTTCTGTATACACTTTTAGGTTTTTAACTTGTTTTACCTTGATTGAATTTCTTAGAACAATAAACATACATTTTTTCTTTTTCTCTTATCATGGCCCTCTTGAATGGTTACTCCTAATTTATAGCCATAAATTTATCTTATTAGGTTCTTGCATTCTTCCAACACAATTGCCACAAATTCATACATCCCCTTCACTGATTACTATGATGTAAATGACATTGTTTCATAATTTCAGATATATCCCTGAAACATATTTGGAAACACAAAACATGCACTTAAGTGGTGCTTTAAACAGTATAATAAGCAGTACAAAGTAGAAAATGGCTTTTCAAAGTGCTTCATGCAACTTATCTTGAAAATTCTTACGCAACCTTGAATGTTAGGTGTCTATTGCTTTCCTGATAGCTGGAGGGGCTGATTTTTTTTTAAATTGCTGCTTTCTCCAAGGTTATTTACAGACTTTAAATGACCTTAGCTAAATTATTATTTGCAAAAATACCCAGCCTATTCTCAGAACCAAGAGTAGGAAATATCTCTCCCCACCCCACCACGTTGATGGACTGTAACTCTTATCAGGATTGATCATCATAGCCAAAGGATAAGAGCCATGGGTGTTGCAGTCCAACAACATTTATTGGGCCATATGCCCTACCTCTCTGCTCCGAGGTAATGTTCTAATTTGGCAGTCCAATTTTCTGTTTTGGTGGTTCTCATTCTGTGGCATATGTATTACTGATGGGATATAGGAGTAATCTAGGTGATGTGCAAGGTTTTTTTTTTTTAAAAAAATAACAATTATCAATACAGTAATTCACATCACCAGAATGGCATATGTATTACTGATGGGATATAGGAATAATCTAGGTGATGTGCAAGTTTTTTTTTAAAATAACAATGATCAGTAATTCACATCACCACAGTCCTCCTGCAGATATGATGTGCCATCTCTTACTGATCTGATCCATCATGGATTATCTGTCTATGACATTCTGTCATGCTAATAGTAACTTGGAAAGTGTTTCTTCTGATTCTCATATCTACAAGTGAGTGTCACTGATGTGCTACTTTCTTCATGGATTATCCATTGTGCTTCTGCCCCTATCTCATTTATAACATAAATGATAAACATAATATGAGAATGAATGGAACAAATGTCCTTATTTCACAGTGGGATCCAACTTGTTTGATAGGGATGTTAGATATGAAATGCTAGGACCCACTGATCTACAGTATGCAAAAGGACTCCAATAGCTCCTGATAAGTGAAGGAATGGGAGGCACATATCAACAAATATGTCTGTGACCTCTTTATCCCCCACAGGAAGGGCTTGTTTTGATAAGTTGAATACCTCTGGCATGTCAGAAAACCAAAACAAAGACCAGGTGTCAGCTGGAGCTGGGACATCTCAACTGTGGATGAGAGTGATCAACTTGTGGTTAGTAACCAAACTATACACAGAGTTGGGAGGGTGAGGGCTAGAATAAGATAAACACCACCACAAGGAGCTTTATAAGGACAGGGAGATAAAGAAGAAGCATGTGCATGTGTATGTTTGTGTGAGAAAGACCTTGGTGCCAACTGAGCCGACATATGAACAACTATACACTCTAGGACTGGAAACAAGGTAGGCTGGCAGAACTTATTACAGTGTTTCCATTCATTCTATAGGAGCTCAAATAAGTTGAAAGAACCCTCAGGTATACTGTCAGTTTTCTCCATGAAACTGACTGAAACACTTTGCTGCAATTAGACTGGTCGATAAGAGAAACAAACCCAATATAAGCTTTGGGGAGAGAAAAGAATTCTCTGTTAAAATTATTTTCCAGTCTCAAAGCTTGTATTGGCTCTGTTTCTCTAATTGACCAATTTACACCGGATTGTGCACTTTTCTCCAGAGCTGAGCCCATTTCATGGAGAAAGTTGAGAGGATGCATAAGGGTTTGTGCAGCTGATTTGACAGTGTAGCTTGTAAGGAGAAGTAACATCAAAAATAGCTTTCTATAGCTAATCTGATATTTTGTAAGGACACTGAAATTCGGCTTTTAAAAGAAGTTACCAATCAGTTTGAGTCTTTGATCCAAACTTCATTCAGTGAAAAGAAAGTTTCTATGGTCACTTTGTATGGAAAGACTTAAACAGTTATTGGATTATTTTTGTCCTTTACTATCACCAAATGAAGCAAGTTTCTAGATGAGTCTTTCATTATCCAGCTTCATTCAGAGAATTTTACAGAAGCTCTGTAAATGAGCTTTGTGGTATGTTTCTTCCTTCCTTCCTTCCTTAACAATGAAATAACAATTGCTTTTGACTGGTAGCATTAGGTGACATCCTTCTGAAAGGGGTGAACTGAAACAGTACATGAGTGCCTTTCAAGGTAAACAACAAGGTCACAGTGCACTGACAGGTTCTAGGCATGGACCTTGACATAGAGATCTTCCAAGTGGTTTGTGTATATGGGGAAAATTATCTCATATCTCCTAATTAGAGCCCGCAGAGCAGAGGCAGATGCAGATGTACTGTGAGAGAAAATAATCCCTAATGGGGAGACCTTTTGAGCAAGTAGATGGAAGCTGCCTTACTTGAGACCAGATAAAGTATTTGATGATAAAGCTATAGGGATTAGGAAATCTGCTACTGGCCTTTTTCCTTGAACTTTTCTTAGCAAGAAGATGAAATCAATCTCATGTAACACCTGGGCTGCATAACCACAGCAGGTATTAGACCTAGATGTGTTATCACTGGATGACTCATTATAGAAAGAAGAGACAAGGTGAGATGACGTTATGAACTGCTTTGATTTAATGATACCCACTGCAGTCTGGTTCACTCCAAGGTACTGTCTCACAACTGTATCACAACTGTATGGAAGATCACTAGCATTGCAATCCTAAGCAAACTTGCTAGCTTGTAAATCTCCTTTAATACAACGAGACTGACTTTGTAGTAAACATACTGTACTTGGGGCAGTACGAGTAGCTATGCCAGCCTGTACCTGCATTAAGGAAGTTGTAGATTTCTCACAGAGGTTTGCAGTCCTATCTGTTATTTATGACAGCTAAATCCTAGGAATTTGTATGTATTGGAGAAAGATGGAAGAAAATTTGCTCAAGTGGTATAAATGTGTTAGCCACAAGAACAATTATATTTGCACTCTAGAAGGTGTGCTTTGATTTAAAACAGAAAGAACACAGCTGCTATTCCTTGTTGATTTCAAACAATATCTTTAGAAGCAGGCTAGACAACAGCATCAGTGTAATTGCATGTACTTCACAAGAACAAATCTTTGAAAGCAGCATGCTTTCATTTAAATCACATTAGCCCTATTGAACACAATAAGACTAAGAAGCCTGAAATGCAAAATAAGGCAGTTAGAGTACTTTAGCCAGGGTTATATTAAGCAGTATGCGTATCATGACTCCAGGGTGTTTGTATCAGCATATAAGTTTAATCTTCAGTAAGCTGAAAACCAGATCACCACAGTGAAATAAGAGCCACTGAATATGGCCAGGTCTCTTTTTTTAGCTGAGTTTGGAAAAATTAAATGCCGCCTGGAAAATTCTAGAAGTTGTTTAAAAAAAATACTTTCAGGGGAAAGAAAGAGCGCAGAGTTTTAAAAACTCTGATCCTGAGCTCAGCATGCTGTACAGTCTTACCCATTAGCATCAGTGGGGACTGGGCAGACAAAGTTTAAAATTATGTATTCTGGCCCTCATGTTACTGATGCTTAGAGTATTTTCTTTTGGGAAGACTCAGCCGATGGCTCTGTTAATGTTTAATAATTAGTGCATTTTAATTTTCTGCGACAACAGGGATTGTTTTCTTTAGCCATGTGGTGTTTTTCTTCTTCTCACAAATGGCTAGGATTGCCACAGCTGCTCTGCCCTTGTGCCTTTAAAAACATAATTGATATGGAGAAGTGAGCAGGTGGAGTTTTTCACAGTATGAAGATAGATATTATAGCTGTGCACATCCAGATGTGTGAAATGGAATACAATACAAGGACATAGGATTAAGAGGGCCTGTGGCCCTTCAGATGTTTTTAGACTACAAATCCAGCTGTCCCTCATTATTGGATATGCAAACTGGGAAGCTGGGAAAGGTGTAAATCAGGAGTCCAACACTATTGAAGGGCTACAGGGTTCCTCCCCTGTCTTCATCGCCTGTCCAAGAGTTGTATTCAGTTTCACATATCTTCATCTGCAGAGATACAATGCCTGTCTTCACATATTCAGAAGCTCTAGGTTAGGGTAGCACTTGCTGATTCTGCCTGGCACCCATTATATGTTGGACGTTTCTTGCATACCCATATCTAGAAGGCACAAATGGTGTGGCAAAAGTATATGCAAGTCAGGCATAGAATCATAGGCTCTCTACCCTAAAGATTTATCTATGTGTGATTATAAGGCTGTGCTCTTCCAAACCCCACCCCCACCCCTGGCCCAAGGGGCCTGTTCAAAAGCTGACAGCTCTATCACTTCTAGAACAGCATTCTATGACACTACTATACTGTGTCTGGGTAATATTAATCTATAGATTAGAATTTTAGGCATAGGGGTAAGGGTAGACTGATCTCTTATTTCATTAATAGATGTGGACAAATATGAATTTCATCATGTTCATTTTTTGTCATCTGTACTTGACAAGGTGTATCTGCCAAAGGCTGCTCAGTGTCCTGCTTTTCATTTAATCATTATAGTCTCATTTAGACTAACATGTTGCTTCCTGGTGTATTCTGTAGCAGACTACCATGCTCAGAACCCTTGACCATTGGCCACGCTGTCTGTAATTTCTGGGAGGTCCAACAGTTCTGGGGATCTGGAACCCCTGCTCTGGTTGATCCCAACTGATGTACATATCAGAGGTGGGAAATGTTCCTTTCATGGACTACAACTGCCAGAATACTTCAAACAACATAGGAGTTCCTAGAAACTGTCTGATCTCTGAGGTAGCCTCCCCCAATCTTGTGCCCTCCGGCTGTTTTGGACTCCAGGATCTCTAGTCATGATTACCAAGGCAAGCAATTCTGGAAATTGTAGTCTAAATATCTGGCAGCTGATATGAGAGGATATCTTATTCCTTCACTTCAGTGACTCAGTGTAGACATTGGATGTCACACAAAGCTTCTTGTGTTTTTTGTTGTTGTTAAACAGACACATGGGGCATTAATCAGCACATGTTCTCTTTCATTGTCCTATGTCATAAGCAGAGACATTGTTTGTATCAGCCTTCCCCAAATCTAAGGTTTCAACACAAAACATATTAACCATAAGACTCTTACTATTCTAGAGTTGTAAGTAAAAATTTTAGGGCTGTAATCCTGCAGGTTAGTGTATTAAGCTGCAACTAAAAAGGCCCACTGTTTCAGTTGAACTTACTGAGGAGATGACTCACCCAATCCCATTGGAGGCCCACTGTTTCAGTTGAACTTACTGAGCTGACTCACCCAATCCCATTGGTTCAACAGGTCTACTCTAGCTGCAACTTATTATATTAAGTAGCAGAATTTCTGCATAAAAGTTGAACATAACAAGCATGGATTTTTTTTCCCAATCAAGATTTGGCAATCAAGCATCAGTCCTGCATAGGGCTAGGCTGCATAAAACCCACTGAGTTGAGGATATGAGTATTGGAGCCTAATATATAGCTTTAAAATATTTGTGTGTTGGTTTAAGTCCAAGAGTATCAAATATAACCACTTCTCAAAGAACTGTAAAATAAAACTCATGTCTTCTGTCTGATGGCCTTATCTGGTCACTGCAGATGGTGCTCTTTTCTAAGAGTAAGTAGAGTCGCACTTTCTAAGTGAACCCAAATCCCTGTCCTCCTTGTGGGGGCAATACATTGGGTAACCGGGTCTCAGGCCACCTCAGAACTACTAAGCTTCTTTTCAGTTGAGGTAACGTATCTTAGAGTGGAGAAGTATAACATTTTGTGTGAGAGGTGTTTTTACAGGCAGCCTAGCTGCTCCCAAATGGGCCTGTCCATCTGGCTGTAGCTCACCTGGTTACTGAGTTTTATTCCATCTTGTTCTCCATTTCCCCAATCAGTTGACCTGACTGAGAAGCAGTTTTGGTCCTCCTCCCAAACCTTGTCTGCCCCATCACAGTGACTTCACAAGAACAACATCCTAGTCTCAGGTTTTGGTCCGAGAATCTCAGAGGATGGCTGCTTGTTGTTTAGTCATCTAGTCGTGTCTGACTCTTCGTGACCCCATGGACCAGAGCACACCAGGCCCTCCTGTCTTCCACTGCCTTCTGGAGTTGGGTCAAATTCATGTTGGTAGCTTCGATGACACTGTCCAACCACCTCATCCTCTGTCGTCCCCTTCTCCTCTTGCCTTCACACTTTCCTAACATCAGGGTCTTTTCTAGGGAGTCTTCTCTTTTCATGAGATGGCCAAAGTATTGGAGCCACAGCTTCAGGATCTGTCCTTCCAGTGAGCACTCAGGGTTGATTCCCTTCAGAATGGATAGGTTTGTTCTCTTTGCAGTCCAGAGGACTCTCAAGAGTCGCCTCCAGCGCCACAATTCAAAAGCATCAATTCTTCAGTGGTCAGACGTCTTATGGTCCAGCTCTCACTTCCATATATCATTACTGGAAAAACAGTAGCTTTGACTATGCGTACTTTTGTTGGCAAGGTGATGTCTCTGCTTTTCAAGATGCTGTCAAGGTTTGTAATTGCTTTCCTCCGAAGAAGCAGGTGTCTTTTAATTTTGTGGCTGCTGTCACCATCTGCAGTGATCATGGAGCCCAAGAAAGTAAAATCTGTCACTGTCTCCATATCTTACCCTTCTATTTGCCAGGAGGTGATGGGACCAGTGGCCATGATCTTAGTTTTTTGGATGTTGAGCTTCAGACCCTTTTTTGCACCCTCCTCTTTCACCCTCATTACGAGGTTCTTTAATTCCTCCTCACTTTCTGCCATCAGAGTGGTATCATCTGCATATCTGAGGTTGTTGATATTTCTTCTGTCAATCTTAATTCTGGTTTGGGATTCCTCCAGTCTGGCCTTTCACATGATGTATTTTGCATATAAGTTAAACATATATGTAGCTCATATATGCTGCAACAATATACAGCCTTGTTGTACTGCTTTCCCAATTTTGAACCAATCAGTGTTTCCATATCCAGTTCTAACTGTTGATTCCACAATTAGCCAGAGCACGTTATGCAAAACCTATGTGAACACTAGTAGGATTCCAGCCAAGGTCAGTGGCTCATGAACATTTGGGTACTGTAGCTACCAAATAAAATAGGCTGGCACTGTCTTTCAATGGTGGATACTTAACCTTTGCATTTCTTTTCATTTATTTTTATCATATAATTCTGACATTTTTAACTAACTCCTGTTCTCTATTTTCCTAGCTCAGAGGCAGTTCAGCATCTGCCAGCATGGAAATGCTGCCACCCCCAAGCATGAACTTGTGCTTTGTGTCAGAACAAACTCAGCAGCCTCATATGAAATTTTCTGAATGGAAATTCAAACTGTTCAAAGTGAGACCCCTTGGAAAGCCACTTCCTGAAGACAGTCATCTGGCTAATAGCAATAAAGGAGAAGTGGCAGCCTCTCTGGACAAAGTCACTGAAAATCAGGCTGAAGTGTCAACTCTACCTGCAGAAGTATGTTCTGAAACAGATACTGAATTGAACAAAAGCATACAGACAATAAATAAAGACACTTTTCCTCTGAGCCAAAAAGAGACTGAAAATCATCAGACAAACCTTCAGAAACTCTGTCGCATTTGTGGAGGTTCATTTAAAAGTGACCCTTACAAGAGAAGTTACCCAGTCCACGGACCAGTAGATGATGATACACAAGCCCTTCTCAGAAAGAAGGAGAAAAGGGCTACATCCTGGCCAGATCTCCTTGCCAAAGTGTTCAAAATTGATGTTAGAGGAGACATTGACACCATCCACCCTACTAATTTTTGCCACAACTGCTGGAATGTGATTCAAAGGAAATTCAGCAATTCCCCAAGTGAGGTATTTTTTCCAAGGAAAGGCACCATGGAGTGGCACCCCCATTCATCGAGCTGTGATGTCTGTGGCACTTCTTTCCATGGGATAAAGAGAAAGAAGCGATCTCTGAATCCACAGTTGAGCAAAAAGCCAAGGATTGTAGCTGGAAGTACTAGAAAAGTAAGGCCTGTGAGGAATGTAAAACAAGTGAGCAACAAAGCTGTAATGAAAAGGATTGCCAGTTGCAACAAAATCCACCTCAGTACCAAGATTCTCGCGGTAGACTATCCTGTGGACTTTGTAAAGTCAGTCTCTTGCCAGGTCTGTGAGCACATCCTAGCTGATCCTGTAGAAACAACATGCAAGCACTTATTCTGCAGGGCCTGCATCCTTAAATGCATCAAAGCAATGGGAAGCTACTGCCCAGCCTGTCGCTATCCTTGTTTTCCTACAGATCTGGTGAGCCCCGTGAAATCCTTCATGAACATCCTCAACAATCTGATCCTGAGATGTCCTGTTAAAGATTGCCAGGAGGAGGTTGTTTTGGGAAAATATGCCCACCATTTTTCTAGCCACAAAGAGGCAGAAGAAAAAGAGGGCTATGCCTATATAAACAAAGGGGGTCGACCAAGACAACACCTACTTTCACTCACCCGGAGAGCTCAAAAACACCGCCTAAGAGAACTCAAACTCCAAGTAAAAGCTTTTGCTGAGAAAGAAGAAGGAGGAGATGTGAAATCAGTGTGCTTAACTTTGTTCCTATTGGCTCTGAGAGCTAGAAATGAGCACCGCCAAGCTGACGAGCTGGAAGCTATCATGCAAGGGAAGGGATCAGGCCTCCACCCAGCTGTTTGCTTGGCAATCCGAGTCAACACTTTTCTCAGCTGTAGCCAATACCATAAAATGTACAGGACTGTGAAAGCCATAACAGGAAGACAGATCTTTCAGCCATTGCATGCCCTCCGAACTGCTGAAAAGGCCCTTCTGCCAGGTTACCATCCATTTGAGTGGAAACCACCCTTGAAAAATGTGTCCAGTAACACAGATGTAGGCATTATCGACGGGCTTTCGGGCATACAGCATTTGGTTGATGACTATCCTGTAGATACAATTGCAAAGAGATTTCGGTATGATGTAGCTTTGGTTTCTGCCCTGATGGACATGGAAGAAGACATTATAGAAGGGCTGAAATCTCAGGACTTCGATGACTATTTGAAAGGCCCTTTCACTGTGGTGATTAAGGAGTCCTGTGATGGAATGGGAGATGTCAGTGAGAAGCATGGTTGTGGTCCTGCAGTCCCTGAGAAGGCAGTTAGATTCTCTTTCACACTTATGAGTATCTCTGTCGCTCATGGTGATGCAAATGTAAAGATTTTTGAAGAAAATAAGCCCAACTCTGAACTGTGTTGCAAACCTTTGTGCCTTATGCTGGCTGATGAATCAGACCATGAGACGCTCACAGCCATCTTGAGCCCTCTTGTAGCAGAAAGAGAGGCCATGAAAAGTAGCGAACTGATACTTGATATGGCTGGAATTCCAAGAATGTTCAAATTCATCTTTAGGGGTACTGGATATGATGAAAAACTTGTCCGTGAAGTAGAAGGCCTAGAAGCTTCAGGCTCTACTTACATTTGTACTCTGTGTGACACAACACGTCAGGAGGCCTCTCAGAACTTGATACTTCACTCCATAACAAGGAGTCATGCTGAAAACCTGGAACGCTATGAGGTATGGAGATCAAATCCCTACCATGAAACTGTTGACGAACTACGCGACAGAGTGAAGGGAGTTTCTGCCAAGCCATTTATTGAGACAGTTCCTTCGATAGATGCTTTGCATTGTGATATTGGCAATGCAGCAGAGTTTTACAAGATATTCCAGTTTGAAATTGGTGAAGTGTACAAAAACCCTGATGCATCAAAAGAAGAAAGAAAGAGATGGCAGTCAACCCTTGATAAACATCTCAGGAAGAAGATGAACTTGAAACCTATGATAAGGATGAATGGAAATTTTGCTAGAAAGCTCATGACCATGGAGACTGTGCAAGCAGTTTGTGAATTAATAAAATGTGAGGAGAGACATGAAGCCCTCAGAGAGCTCATGGACCTTTATCTTAAGATGAAACCAGTTTGGCGGTCTTCATGTCCCATGAAAGAATGTCCAGAGCTAGTATGTCAATATAGTTTCAATTCTCAGCGTTTTGCAGAATTGCTGTCTACAAAATTTCGTTACAGATATGAGGGCAAGATTACCAATTACTTTCACAAAACCCTTGCTCATGTTCCAGAAATTATAGAAAGAGATGGCTCCATTGGTGCTTGGGCAAGCGAGGGAAATGAGTCTGGGAACAAACTTTTCCGACGTTTTCGGAAAATGAACGCCAGACAGTCTAAATGCTATGAAATGGAAGATGTCTTAAAACACCATTGGCTGTATACATCAAAACATTTGCAGAAGTTTATGAACGCTCATAATACGTTGAAAAATCAGGGGTTCACCATCAGTCCAGAGGAAAGTGAAAGCAATTTCATGACTTTGGATGACTCTTTGGAGATTACTGATTCCATGGAATTCTAAGGCGAACAAATGTGTGCATCAGTTTTGTAGCTGAATTGCCTTTAAAGGGGCACATTTAATGGCTATTATAAAGAAATCACATTTCTTTTTAATACTTAGTGGTAAAGAGTCCTGCCCTCAATAAAAGGCATTTGATGAGCTGTTCTGGGCAATAGATTCCAGAACATGGTAATGTCAGATGACAGAATGGTATGCTTTAGTGGTCAAGTTGTAAGAAGAAAATGGAGAGGAAGACAGTAATTGCATCTTGATTTCATTGTGTTATACAGGGTTTTAGAGTGGGTTTGTTGTTGCTGTTGCTGTTTCATTGTGTTATACAGGGTTTTAGAGTGTGTTTGTTGTTGCTATTGCCAGAGTTGACAAGGTTTAGAAAAGTTTGTTAAGTCATCACGTGTGGATTATACAGTACACACAGAAAAATATGTTTGTAGCTATATTTAGAGATCTATTTGGAGGGGGGAATGTTACTTCATGTAATATATATGCATTTCACTTGCATATCTTACATTTCCTTATTAATAGATACTTCATGTAATATATATGCATTTCACTTACATATCTTACATTTCCTAGCCTTCACTTTTTAATGAATCCACAATATAAAGGTAATTAGTTAAAGCCTAAAAATACATGAAACAGTGACTCCAATATATTGACTAACTGCTTTAATTGGGAAGCATCTTTAGACTATGGATAGGTGCTAAAGTTTTATATATTGAACAAACATAAATATAAGTTTTGTTGCATGTACTCTTGTAGCATGTACTTTTGTTGCATGTACTTTGTTGCATGTACTCTTACACTATAGTTTTTAAAAGTACATATACACTTTCTGAGTCAGTTATTCTTTCAAATGTGATGAGAATTGGTAGTACATGTTTTTAAAGAAGGCATAAGAGTATCAAAATATCAGCATTAGTTTCGTCAGTAAAGCAGTTGCCGAGAGAGGATACCTTGAAAGCTATAGGATTCTACCCAGATTAGATCATATTTAGAGTAGATCCATTCAAATTAATAACATTTATGAATATCTTAAATCCTGTTGAAGTAAATGGATCTGCTCTAAATATGAATATTGTTTCCTAGATCCATTTCATAGGCTTCAATCCATTCATGCCCAAGTCTAATTATAAGTAACACAATAAGCCAGTTGTGATGAATTGGCCATTGCTTTGAATGAGATTTACTTACAGCTGTTTTATTCTGGATTTGGGGATATGAGGTATATAGCTGAACATTGTGCTATGAGTGTAGCAGTTTTGTCACACACCAGCTGTTTTCGCATTATGATAAAGTAGTAGGGCCATGTTCTGTTCTCTGTCCATGGTGCTTAAACAGCAATTTTTACTCTTCTGCCTGACTCTCCACATCTGATAAATGGAAAGCTTATTTATACACCCCAAAGGATTATTCTGGAATACTTTCAATCTTGATCTGATGCATTGGAACACAAACTATTTTGGGTATGGCTAACCAAAGAAGTGACTTCTCTGCATTTGGCTAGCAAGCAATGGGTAAATAATTTTGAAGCAGTTAGTAGAATATTGTATTTTTTAAAAAGTTCTGGTGGGAAACATTACTCTTTTGAACCACAACTCCAAGCATATCTGGGGATTTCAAAGATTGTTTGGAAGATGTTCGCAAGGTGTCCCAGTGAATTCACTGAAGCTATTTCAGCTTGTTTCAGTGCAATCTTTTGTTTTAATTGCCTTCTTGGACTATGATTAATCTGTTTTACATATTTGCAATGCTGCTTATCTATTAACCCTCATTACAGTATTTATTAAACTATTCACACACTAGGAAGATGCCTGTCTAGGATATTCAGAGAATTGCAGCATATAATTTTTATTATGTTTATATTTTATGATGGCAAGTTCTGAACAAATCATTTAGTTCATGCAGTAGCAGTATTCTTGTCTTTTGATACGTTTTTGAACTTTTTTTGTTCTAAAAAGTGTTTTGTTAAATTTTCTTTTTCCTATTGTTTTTTACATACCACGTTTTACCTTTAAAGTAGTGTTTGTAGTTGATTATAATGGGGGGGGGAACATACTGTTTTAGATAATATAGAAAAGTCTGTTGCTGTTTTTAAAATGTAGTTTTCATATTACAGTAATAATTTCCATCTAATCCTAAACTCATTCCAAGGAACTAAACATTAGCATGTGTTGAATTATCTTTCCAGTTGCATACAGAGAACAATCCTCCATCTGAAATTTTCTCCTGTTTGAAAGCTGTTTCATGTAGCAGCAGTTGCTTTTGACTGAACCACTGTTCGCACATCAGACACTCTTCAAACAAAGGATGGCTTCAAATAGAGGGGAGAGGTGTCATCAGAAAAGTGTTCCAAAAAAACCACGAAAGTACTGTGAAATAGAAAATACAGCCCTCCTGTACATTATTCACCTATTAAAATGTCATGCTTTGCAAATCTGAGAAAATGTGACTGTGGATGATGTACATGTGACTCTGGCAAAACTCTATTTTGAGGACCTTTATTGGGTGGAATGGGGGAAATTCTATTTCATATGCTTGGTTTCTATGTGAGAGTATGTGAGGAAACATGCCACTGTATTATATGCCAAATTAGTTTCCAAAACATCTGTCTTTTCTTTCCACTCAAAACACAGTAAAATGGAGACATTTCTCTTTCTTGTTGGCTAGGGGAGATGAGAATGACTCTGTATGATGAACTGTATTCTGGTGTCTTCCTCCCCCAGTGCCAACACAGCCAGGAACTTTTCTTTTTAGAGCCAGTAGAAGAAATATTAAGTCTGAGTAGGGATTGTTTTTCTGAATAAAGCTGTACATGGTTTATATGCCCTAGAGAAATTCAAGCACGCAGAACCATAGTGCTTCATTGTACCATGTGTGCCTTGGGAGCAGAATCAATGTCAAATATTCTCATTTGAGATATTAGTTTGGAGGTTATACGATTAAGCCCCCAAGATTCTTGGCAGGCATGATGTCAGATTTCCTTGGCCTGCACAAGTTAGCCACGAAAACAGAGGCAGACTTTGTTTTGTTTTCTTATTGTTCTCTCTCTCTCTGTGTGTGTGTGTTATGTGTGAATTTGATTTTGATACCTCTTTACCTTTGTTGTTACATTATTTAAGTGGAGGAATCTCTTTAGTTGTGGCTTTTTTTGAATTCATTGTGACAAGAAGAATATATTCCTGAAAGTGGTTATTTCTTAGACTTTCTGGAAATAGACGGCTGGAAACCAAATTGAAGAAATTGCACAAAGATGTGTCTGAATATACCTCTGTTTCTCTCTCTGTGTTTGCATATGTGCATTTAATTGCCAAGAGATGCACTAAGTATTGACTCATGGCTAGAAGAATAGTTTGTTGTGAAGCTTTGGGGAGCTTTTAAAACAGTTTTAAATAAGTGGAAGCACTTAATATTCTTTCCTCTTCAAAATTACTTTTCCTTTTAATTCCAAATGGATATAAATACCACAGGTGATTGTACTGTTAGGCAGTTGCTATAGAAGTTTGTTATTACTAAATGGTATTGAAGTCTGCTTTTGGTAATCCTTTTCCATAGTTTTATTGTCTACTGATTTATGTAAAGTGTTCTAATTGGCAGCCTGATCCACAGCCAAGAAACTCAGATTTAAACTAATTTAATTAATTCAGTGCATTAATTTAGCTGTTTGAAATCCAGCCAGTGTCCCTTTGATTTAACCAGGTTGTGGATCTGAAGGCAGGTAGTTGTCATGTGACATGATGGACACCTTAACACGGGATATTGCTTTCTTTCATCCAAATTTATTCTTTGATAACTTTATTGCTTTGTAGCTAAGAGAAGTGGATTACACCAGTAATAAATCTTCTATACTCATTGGTGTTCTATATTTAAACACTGGATGTAAAACCTAAAAATGCTTGGAACATTGAATTACCTCCAACATTTGTATCACCCTTCCCATTGTGGGAAAAAACTCATTGTACTCATTTATTAGGACACTGCTTTGATTTAAAACAACAATAACATTTTTTGAATCACTTAATCCTATGGTTCATATTGTTTTATCCTTGTAATTGTAGGATGTATGTAGGATGTAATTTGTTCCAATATTGCAAGAATTAAGGAACATCTTCAGATTTTAAAATTATGTGAACTAGCAGCTATGTAACAGGACGACACATTTTAGGATTTGACCTGACACTTGAGCCAGGTTTTATTTCTCTAATATGAATAGGGGGCTCTCAAATGTTCAACATTTGCCCAAGAATTTTAATCTTGTTTGTTTCATATTATGCTATTGTTCAACTCTGATATTTCAATAAACTCTTTGATTAATAAATAGTTAATTTTTTCTTTATTTATTGTTGGACAAATGTGACGGAGAAAGGCCGTGACAGTGTATGTATGAGAAAATTATTGTGGGAAAGGAAGAGAGAAAAGTAAAGCTTCCCTCTTATTCCTATAGTTCCTTCTTATTCACCACTCAGACCATACTAAGTGCATATTACACACAAAAGTATCTTTAAAAGTCTGAAAACCTGGTTTTTCTAGAGCAGTGCTCCCATATTTGACAGCCTCCTGTTGTTTGATTAAAGTTCCCATTGCCTCCTACCAGTAGTGACCAGTGAGCAGGGATGATGGAACCAATAGTTCTAAAACACTGAGGGAATCATGGGGTTGGAAAAGGCTGTCTTAAGAGTTAGGTCATACAGAAGAAAAGCAATGACAGATGGAATGAAGTAACTAATGCTTTCATCATTCAATTTTTTCTCATCTGTTTTGTCTTAAGATGTTTCTCCCCCATATGTTTGCTTATAAGAGCACGCCTGAGGTGCTTTTATGCTGCCTATTCACTTAACATAGGTTTTCTGTCACCTTAGCTCTTCTAAAGTTTCTTTTGCATTGCCTCTGGCCAGTCCAGGACATTGTTCCCTCAGGTGAATTCATGAGGTAGCTGCCCAAGTGAAAGCAGTGCATGATAAACACATAAACACTGTGATATGTACACTGATAATTACCCACCAAGTTTTCTTCAAGTGCCATATGACCACGTGACTCTTCATCCTTCCACTGATATTATAGATTGTTTCCTCCTTCTTAGCTCATCCAATGTAACTAGGGGAGAGTGAGACCCTTGAAAAGTTAGAATACTTCAGAAAGCATAAGGAGCTCAGCTGCTCCGGAAGTTTCTCATCCCTGGCACAGACTGTATCCATAGGGAGAAGCCATCTTGGAGATGGAGTCAAGTGGCATAAATCCTTCTTTGCTTGACTCCTACTCAGGGATTCAGAAAATGATTAATCTGAACATGTGAGGAAGAAAAGAGGGCTAGCTCTTCCTCCTTCCAAAATGGTTCTCAACATTGGAAGAATGACAGTCTGAAGAGGGGAGTCTCTTGGTAAGTGTCGAAAGCTGACACATGTGGAAGGATTTCATGTGTAAGACATGGCCTCTTATTCAAATGCCACTCTCGACATATGAAGAATGACAACAGAGAGGTCAGGACATAACACTTTCCCTGTCTTCAGATGCTGAGGCCAACCTTTTTCTGAACACCTGAAGAAGGTTTTAGCAACACTGAAGATCAGGAATGCATGTATTCACAAACACTGTTGGATTCAATGATACATCATGAAGGAACAACAGTCAAAAGCAACCAGGACCAACCTATATGCTAAAGTGAGGCAGCAGTCCTAAGTGACAGATGCTGAAGGGAACTGAATGGAGGGACCAATAGATTTCATATGACCTCTTTGTTTCTCTTTAAATTGGCCTACTGCCCTTAAGTGAAGAGAGAACATTGTCTTGTCACCAATTGTGATATAAGATTCAGCTGCCAGACTTGTTGGCTTCTGCACTGATAAATGAATGACTAAGGAACATGCCATTTTATCCTTTGCCTCAGGCAATAAAACATTTTGGTCCAGCCCTACAAGAACTTGCCTTAAATCAAAAACGCTCATCCTATTTCTATACCATTCCACACAATTCAGGCAACAGAGAGGGCCACAAAGCAGAGCCACCATACATAATCATCCCCTACGGTGATTACACTGCTATAATTTAAGCCCATGTGGAGGACACATGTAAAGTTCATAGTAATATTCTCAGGAACTTCTGCATTTGTAGTATGAATCCAGCTTCACAGCTTATTGTACACATATGCAAGCAAAGTGATATACTGTAAAATAGTTCACAGTCTATTATATCATTCTAAGGTGTGTGTGATTTGTTTTTTTGGGTTTTTTTGTAGAAATCGGGATAGAATACTGTATATGCATTTATTTGCATATATGCACATCCTTCAAAAAGACACAGATATTTCAAAGAAACTCTTCAGATGAGTGATAGTTCTTGAAGAATATTTTGGTGATCTTGACTGCCCCCAAACACGGTGCTGACATGCAGGGTCCTTTTCCTCAGAGTATATTTTAAAACATTAAACTGGCCTTCTCCTGTCCCCCTCCATACAATATTATACATTGCATGAAAGTTACTATAAAATTTGTTTCTCAGTTATTAATGGTAAACTTGTCTAGGTCAGAATCATATGGGAGGAATCTCTCCCCCCCATTGGTACCCTCTGTGCCCCAAAGATCTCTCAGAAGTCCTAGGCATTGCCAGCGGCTGCAGGCCAGAGAGAAGGAGAAGAAATGTGTACAATGTTGGTATTGCTGTGCCAGTACTGCACTGGATTAGCCCTGTTCTTTATCCAGAATTTGTTTTGTGGTCCTGCGGGGACGTAAGACACCACAAAAGCACTACTGATTCATGAATTGCCATTATATCTGTTTACACAGTCTGATTCATAGTCTCTTTTATGTACAAGTGTTTCTGCTGTTGTGCAGAGTATTACATCTTCAGATAACAAAGACTGAATTGTACTCCTTGAGATCCAATCACAGTACATTTGAGGGCACAACATATCTTGGAAGAACAGGGAAGGGGTTATTGTATATCAGATACCCAGGCAGGTAAAACAGGGAGTCACCAGTGATTTCAAGTCAATATCAGTTTATTATCTATACTTTGGACAAGAGATATGCTCCAAGTGGGGGACAGCCCTTGAGGAACAAGAAGTGCAGGCACAACTTAAACAGCATTTTGTACAATGCAGTCTTGATATGATTATGTACAATTTCAAGAACAAAGCTTTGATTATAATGGCATCTTGATCTGATTATGATCATTATGTGTGCTGATTGATTCAGGTAAGTACGAGCATTACAGAGCACTTTGAATTTCAAAGCTATCAATAAGGAAGGGTTGGCTTAATTTCAGGAGCTGAGAGCACTTTAGCTGTTTTCTTCATGGAGGAGTCATTCTTTCAGAGCAGGCAGTGCTTCTGAATCGGTTGACTAAGAAGCAAAAACAGAGAACTGCTGCAAATTAAATAGTTTGCTAGGGTTATAGCCCTTTGGGAACCACCTGCCTAAACACACCAAGATGGCACCCGACTCCAAATCAATGTAAGACACTTGGTCCCAATATACCAACAGGCAAGAGGCTGACTGGTAGTTCTACCTTCCTTCCAATAAGCAGCTTCATAAGTTGGGTCTAGTGGTGATAGAGGTTCTCACTTTCATTACTGATACGCAGTTGAAGGTGCAGAAAAAAAGCAATGAAAATGATCACAGGACTAGATCTTACAAGGAAATGTTAGGAGATTTGGGGTGATTACCTTTGGAAAAAGGAGGAATTTGGGGAGATATGAGAGAGTTATTTAAAATTATACATTATGTGGGGAAAGCGGATTAGCAGAAGGTTTTGCTTCTTTTTCCTAATTCTAGAATCTGTGGTCATCCCTTGAGGATGAAAGGCAGAGGATTCAGGACAGATAATAAGGAAATGGTTTTTCACTGAGTGGCCAAAATCCTGTTGCTTAGTATAGTACGTAAGTTGTATTTGGACCGACCCATTAAGTCACTGGGTATTTGTTGAGTCAACTCCTCTGTAAGTTCATGGATTCATTGGGATTTCCTAATTCTAGAATCTGTGGTCATCCCTTGAGGATGAAAGGCAGAGGATTCAGGACAGATAATAAGGAAATGGTTTTTCACAGAGTGGCCAAAATCCTGTTGCTTAGTATAGTACGTAAGTTGTATTTGGACCGACCCATTAAGTCACTGGGTATTTGTTGAGTCAACTCCTCTGTAAGTTCATTGATTCATTGGGGCTATTTGAGTGTGATTTAGTACACTAAGCAACCGGATTTCAGCAAGTGTCTGGCTAAATGGTCTTTGGTTGGAGATCACAGCTTTGCACACCACTGTCATATTTACTATTATAACCTCATTCAAACAGTTTCCGAATAAAAGACTTTTTTGTAGGTGTGACAACCTTCATACTCTTTTTCCGCCGCAATGCTTTCATGGGTGTCTTTGCTAAAGGAGGAGTCTCTCTGGGGGTTTGTAGTCCCCTGGCCAAACTGATGTGCTCAGTACAGAAATACTTGACGTTTACCTCTGAAAGGTGAATAAGTGTCTCCTCAGATAGATCCATACATTGAGCATGGACCCAGTGGCCATCTCCATGTGAGCAAAAGATCATTGCTGGCTTGTTGAGTTCTGTTGAATACAAAGGCACCCAAGTGTTGATATCAATATCACATCCTGCAGAGCAGGTGATCCAGTAGCCAGTATCAGAATCATCTTTCTCATCATCTTCATTATAGGTGTCAATATCAGTAAAGTCAAAGCTGAAGGAGAATTCCTCTGAGTCTTCGAAAGGAGTAGATTCTCCTCCATCTTCTGTAGAACTTTGACTGCACATTTGTGCCATCTGTTCTGAGTCCTGATCACTTTCTCCTTGACATTTCAATACATAAAAGTAGTTTGCATCTGAAATTAGTTGCCTGTTGTCTCCTGGAATACCAAATAGTATAGCCCCATTTCCCATGTCACTCCCAAACCATATCTTGCAGTGCTTGATTTCTTGGGTCCATTCTGGGGTCTCCCTTTCCAAAATCTCTGGCTTGTTCTCTTCTAGGCGGACTGTATTACAAACCATTCTTTTCTGGTTGTCAGAATGATAGCCCCCAACAATGACAAATTCATGGTCTCCAGTTTGGGTCATGATTGCACTAGATACTGAAATTCCCCCAGGCAAGAAGCAGCAGCTCACAGCTGGGCTCCCTAAAGGAAGGTCAATTTTTATTCTATAAAGATTTGGGGGTCTGGTGTTATTTTCAATGGAATGGCCTCCCAATATATAAATGGTATCATTATGGGCAAGGGAGAGATGAAAAGAGAATCCGCTCTGAAGTTCTGGGAAAGCATATGAGGTGCAGCATCCAAATTGAGGGTCAATCAGAAATACATATGGCCTGCAGTCAACTACAGCATTCCAATTTTCAGTGGTCCTTTGTTCAACAGCCATGTATGACCTTCCTCCAATTATGACAATCATATTTTTATCTTGACTATGAACGACATTGATGGAATGGCCATATCTTGCTTCAGGTACCTCTCCAACCAATTCTTTCTCAGTACACCTGAATGTGACCTTCTTACTGTTCTTGCTGATAATGCTCATGATGTACATCTTATCAGAAAGTTCATTGTTGGGCGTTTTTCCTCCGTGGATGATATATTGACATTTTTCAGACAGCACTGCACTACCGTTGAGAGTACAGATTGCAGGGTACCGCAAAGGGGGGAGGTAGCAAGAATCCTTGGAGAAGTATGCTGGCTTTAGTTTGAGCTCATCCTTTTTGAAATCAAGCAAGAAAATCCCAGTAGGACAGGACCTCTTGGGCCAGCCTTTCTGCCCAAACAAAAAAACTTGACCATCAAAGTTGAGCAAAGAAAAACCTGGTTGGATCAGGGAAGAGTTTTGAATGGTAGATACCATCTGAAGAGACATCTTCTCTGGCAAACAAGCCATATTACTGTCAATATCTGAAGAAGAGAATGTGGACACAAACTCTACAGGAATCAGATCAGTTGCTGCTTGGCCTTGCTTGACCTTGCTTGAACAGATCAGGTTACCTTTTGTCCCCCTAGTGTCATTGTTGATTGATGGAAGCAATTCCTTCAGAAAAATGCTGAGAGAATCACAACACAAGAAAGAAAGAATAAGGGAAAGTTAATGAAAAGTCTAAATAAGATTGTGTCATTTTTATTACAAATCTATTGCTGAATAGAAGATGCCACATGGTCCAGCAGTCAAGCAGAGGGCTAAATTTTCAATGAAATGGTTACAAGTGCTTTGTTTCTTCTCATTGAAGGAACAGAGCAAAACAAATCAGTAAGAATGTCATGGCATACCAGCAGCTGTTCAATGGTAATACCAGAGTAACAAGGAGAAAGAGGCTGGAAAAGACAAAATCAGTGGTTAAATCCATTGGCAAATCCCCACTAAGTTGTTGTTGTTATGTGTCATCAAGTCCCCCCCTATTTATGGTGACCCTATGAATGAGCAATCTACAAAATGCCCTGTCCTTAGCAGCCCTGCTCAGCTCTCGCAAATGCAAGTTTGTGGCTTCCTTTACAGAGTCTATCTATATCATATTTGGTCTACCTCTTTTCTTGCTGCCTTCGGCTTATCCCAGCATTATTGTCTTTTCCAGAGAATCCTGCTGATGTGTCCAAATTTGCACAGCCTCAGTTGCAACATTTTTGCTTCCAGAGATATAGCACGATTGATTTATGTGTCTTTCTGGTAGTCCAGGGGTATCCACAGGGCAGTATTCTTCTAAAGCAACGGTCCCCAACCTTTTTGGGACCATGGACCAGTTGGGGTGGGTGGGTTCTGTGGGGGGCAGGGGCACCCCCACACTCACGGGTGGTCATCTGATGCTTGCAGGTGGTCGTGTCACGCTCGCGGAGGGGCATGTTGCATATGTGCACAAGTGCAACACCCCAACCTGTGAGTGTGACACACCTACCTGTGAGTGTCACACACACCCTCCAAGTGTGACACACCCACCTGTGAGTGCCACACGCCCCCTCCGTGAGTGCGACACACCCACCGTGCATGCGTGCAGGGGGGGCAGAGATCTGTGTCCGTGGCCCAGTTCAAGGAAAGCCATGGACTGGCACTGGGTCGCAAACTAGGGGTTGGGGACCCCTGTTCTAAAGCAGTGGAATGTACATAAATATTACTATTCAGCAGATGCTTAATGGGTCTTACTGGGAAGGGAATAGCCCAGGATTGACTGATCATGTTGCATCTGACATTTTGGTGAGTGGTTTGTGAAATGATGGAGTATGAAATATGTGGGCCATGAAAAATGCAGCTAGGATTTGTTGGAATTTGGCAACCTTCACATGTTGCCTTTAAGAGATTTTGACTGGGAGGAGCCTTTCTGGATGGGGGTGAATATCAATCAATCCAATAGTGACCAATTGTTCTGTCTCTGCCTTGGAATTTTGAAGAGAGCGATGCCTCTCTACTCAAGTCTTTCCCCTGCTCTTTTTAGTCAGACATGTTCTGTCAGCAATGTAGTCAGACACTTTGAAGACAATTAGAGCAATGTAGTCTGTCAGAAGTATTCAGACAGCCCTGTCATGAGTCATTTATGCAGCTATTCAATCAATTAAGCTCTGCTCATGTAATCAGTCATAATTTTGTCTACAGAACACTGCTTATTTTTGATCTATGAAGAACTGTAAGTGGAACATTTTTTATTCTTACCAGAGTCTCTGAATGGATTGTTCAGACAATAAGTGGCAGTTGAGGAACACAGACCAATAAGAAGTGATCTGGTGTGGGGAGATTTGAAGCTAATTCTGCTCAATATGTCCATGATTTTTTTTTTTTTTTGCTGCATGGTTAGGAAGCTTTGAAGCCACACTAAATGACCACAGTCTCCCAATAAGATTAAAGATCTTGGCTTACCTAAGGCATGATACCTCTTGCATACACTCTATGCAGTCACACTTTCCCCGTAATTTTCTTTCATTTCAATAGAATAACCAGTGTTCTCAGCCTGAATGAACACTAGCTCCAGTCCAACTGCATCCAAAGGCAGTAATAAGGGTAACACAGGTATAACCCAGGCCATAAAATCTAGACCTTTCCTTTCCTTTACGAAGCTGACCAACAGAGCTGGCCCATCCGTTAGACAAAATGAGGCAGTTGTCTCAAGGAGCAGGTGCCACAGTATGGGGATGTAGGATGAACTACTGGAAGGCAGAGCTGTGGTGAATTATGTTATCTTTTTACCTCTTAAGCTAGCTTGCTCCTCCTAAGTGTGGTGGAGATACCAAGGGAAAATTCAGCTGTCAGCCTGGTTAGACTTTGTCCTCAGGCAGGGAAAAGTCATGTGGGGCCATTGCTACTGATCAGAGCCATTCTAATTTGAGCTAAATGAGGAAAAGACTCCTTGATTTCAAAGGACCCAATATTCAGGCTCCTTTCCTGTAGAAGCATAATGCCAACACAATAGCCTTTTTTTTTCACTAGTGAAGAATGACTTTGACACAAAAGATGAAAAGTCCCAGCAAAGGTGGCATGGTTTAGTTTACAAATACATTTTCTGCAGAGTGATTCTATAACCTTAGATCTGCAGAGCTGGAAGGGATCTTATGGATCATTGACTCTAGCCCTTGTTAGGGAAGCACAATGGAGAATCAAACAAATAATTAAGGTGGCCTGATGCTGTAATGTGCTCAATGTACTGTGCATTCTTTTTACTTTAATTCAGGTAACATATCTTCTGCACTATTCTTCCAGGAGGATGTCCTCTGTGTGTGTGTGTGTGTGTGTGTGTGTGTGTGTGTGTGTGTGTGTGTGTGTGTGTGTGTGTGTGTGTGTGCGTGCGTGTGCATGAGTGAACTACACATAGGCACTCCTGTAAACAGCATGAACACTAGAAAAACATTTGAACATTTTATGCTAGGTAAAAATATTTTACTTAGTACTAGATATCATCGTTGTTGCTTTTATTAAGTGACATTAATATTGCATTATATCAAATAAAATCAGAATTCTTGTTAGAAGTAAAACCAACTTAACTGAGGCTATTCTAATTTGGATTTATCATAGGGAGAGAGAAAAGACAGTAATGGTAGAAAATTCTGAAGTCAATAGGAAAAGAGGGAAACCAAACATGCAGTGGATTGACTCATCAAAGGAAGCCTTAGCTTTGCATTTACAAGATTTGAGCTAGGCTGTTGATGATAGGACCATCTGGAAATCACTAATTCATAGTATCACTTTAGGCCAAGAATGACTTGATGACACATGCAAAACCAAAAATATTTTCAAAGAACTGCAGAAATATGGTACATTTAAATGCACATCCTAAAAACCATGATATTGCTTTTTCACAGAAATACAGCCATTTATTTCTGCCTTGAGCATGTAGGGAATCAGTGCTCCCCCATATGTTGCTAGGCTCGAATTCCCACCAGGTAGCAAGGCCAATGATCAGCCCTTGTTGTCTAGAATTGTTGTCTAATACCATATGGAAGACCACAAGCTTTCCAAGCCTGATGTAGCCAGTTTATAATTCCTGCATTCATTGCTAGTTTTAGCTTTCACACGCTCATAACTCTTTTCTTAAGATATAGGTATATACTTTACAATATATTCTATTTATATACTTATATATTTTAAGTCTTTTAGGACAATTGAAGTTACTTTAAACATATTGCATTTGATGAAGTGGGCTGAAACAAGTAAAATTTTATGATCTTTAAGGTGCCCTGACAATCTTTGTTGGTTTTTCTTCTCACAAACTAACTTCACTACCCCCTTGGCATTTTTGTGTGGTGAAAAATACAAAAGGACATGACTAATGAAAACATGGTATCTTTACACAATGAGCCAGGTCCTGTGTGGAACTCATATCCTGGTCTTATAGAATCTCACTGTGAGGAAAAGTAATCTTCCCACTCTTTACAAACAATGGCATTTTAAAAAGAGCTCACTTTAGATATATACCAAAAATTTAAATTTTCTCCCTCTGTGTTAAGCTATTCTTTCTTTTTCTCTTTTAAATAAACTGCACAGATTTTTAGAGGACTAAAAATGCAAAAAGATAATAAAAAAAGAAGGAAAAGATTAAATGAGAATAAATTTGATACCTTCCAATTATAATTTCACAGAATAAAAATACTCTGTAATGGTCAGGTGTACCTAACATCTAGAGATCCTGCTTCACCACAGGCCAGAGAATGGACTTGCATTTTGTTGTTTATGTGTTTTATTGGCTCACTACATGTTTAGTATTTCTTTCATGTGTGCAAGTGCAGAGCCTTGAAAAGTTACTTTTATGGAATGCAGTTCTTAGAAGCCCAGTCTACCTGGGACCAAAAAACTTTGGGAATTATGATTTTTCTAAGCTCCCTCTCCTCCCCATCTCTATAATATAGAAGCATGAAAGACAAGATAGTTTGACATCAGAAGATTTAGCTCTAAAAATCTCTAAGAGTTATTTGGCAACTCCTGAGTTTTATAAATAACCACTTAAGACAGTGCATCATCCAAGTGCTTTACAACTCATATTGTATTTTAAGCTATTATATCTCATCACCTGTTCTGGCACTGGAGCATATATATTTCATTCTCAAAATGGGAATTAACTCCCCCTTCCCAATTTGCGTTTGAATAGATATACAATAGGTTTGGGACCTACCTCAATGATAGATGGATTTGCTTCCTACAGATTTATTTGCACCAATATAAAGATTCACATGTCAATACCTGAGGATGTTTCTTTGACTGCTTTGTGTCAAGGAGGCAGGCAGGCAAAGAAGCCGTTTCCTCAACCCACAGATGTGTTTCTGAGAGCTCATTCATGTGCCTAACTGACTGTGACCGTTGCCCCCACTTCAGACGGTGCAGAACTAAAACCAACACAGGCTTGAGGCTTTAACTCTTTAGTGCTTAACTGAAGAATTACAGAAACTAGACTTAATATAGTCTTTTAGCATGAA